TGCATGCCATACCGCCGCGTCGTTCCATCTCGGCGTCCATCGTACACAGCGTCTGCTCGAGCGCTTCTACTGGTGGATTGGTTTGGATCGTTCCGTGCGATGGTGGCTTCGGGCGTGTTTGGTGTGTCAAGCTCGCAAGACTTCATGTCAGACTGCTCGGTGGCCCGTCATTGCTATGCTATTGCCGCAGGGGCCTGGTACAGTCGTCGGCGTCGACTTCTTCGGACCCCTGCCAGTGACGGCCAAGGGCAACTCCTACATTTTTTGTTCACAGACCGTTTCAGTCGGAGAGCCGACATGTTCGTAGTTACAGCGGTGGAATTTACGGCGAAAGGGACGACTCACATGTTCGTCAACCAATACATGACCAAGTGGGGATGTCCGACTACGNCAGGACCACTCTTCTGCCGCATACTGGCGTGCCCCGTGTCTACGTGCCAATGCTGATGCGTCCGTGGGTAGAGTCGAACGCCGCAATTCATCCCTGCTGGACGCCATTCACAAGCTCCCTCAATTTTCCGTTGGCGGGTGGTCTTGGTGTACAACACGGCTGCTACAATTCGACAGGGTGTGCAGAAGGACACGGACCAACAGGTGCTCAAGGCCAAATTCGCACTTTCCTGGACGGGGCCCTACAAAGTTCTTGCGGTGGGTCTCGCCTCTGCCGACGCCACTCCGGACGGCCGCCCGTTGGCGAGTAAACTCCTCTATCTGGACCTGCCTTCCGATCTTTCCGGTCCGGCAGCTCGTTGTCGCGTGTCTGTTCTTCGCTGCAAGCCCTGTCGCAATCCGTACGAGACGGACGACTTGCCGCAACCACTACCCGCCGAGCTTTCAAGGTATGTTCTGCACTCTTCCGGAGATAAATGTCCACCTTTCCACGTCACCGCGGATGATGTGTCGGTGCCTGTCGGGCGCCTCTAGGTCGACTACATGTCGGGGCATCAGCTGGTGCGGGGCCGTAGCGGCGTTCTCGCTGTCCTGTACCAGACGCATTGGTTAGGCCTGACTACTCCTTCATGGGCACGGGAATCCGACCTTGATCAATTCCGTCGACACATCCACCTGCACTGGTCCCGGGAGGTCTGCCAAAGCAAGCAGGGTAACCGTACATATCGAGTGGCTCGGACTCGCGCGGCACAGCGGGAGCTAGCCCGGAATCGTGGATAACGCTATTTGCCTCCTGGGGCTGATCTTGTGCTTCGCGCGACTTGGCTTCGTCGTTTCAGCACTTGGCCCCTCCCTGTTGGCGCGCGGCTGTGGTACAAGGCCCGTGATGGATTGTGGTGGACCGGACGTATTGGTGCTTATCAGGGCGGCTCGTACATCATTCGATTCTTGGATGACCCGGGCCCAAGCGTTCTCCCTCTGCCTGCGCACCTCTACTCCACCGCCTTGGACGCCGTCTGTGGATCATGGTGTTTAGAGAAACATCGTTCGCGCCCTCTGGGCGACAACCGTGGTCGCATTCCGCTTCTTGCTGACTCCTTACCGTCGGCTGTTCCCACCGTTTCTTCTTAGCGTCGNGCGACGTTTTTTTTTTTTTTTCCGTCACCTTCCGTTTTGTTTTGTTTTGTTTTTTTCTGTCCTGTCCCTTTTCTTTTGTTGGCTTGTTTTTTGTTTTGAACGCTGGGGCAACGCCGCCTCAAGACACGCAGTGTCGAGTGATCCGTCTTCCTTGCTGCCTGCATTCGTCTGAATCAGTGAACTGCCGCGACCTGGATGTCCGTTCTCTCTCGCCTTTGCTTAATTTTTTTGTTTTTGTTGGTCTTTGGTTCTCCCGACAGGCTCCCTCCGAAGTTTCCTCGGTGTTGTTTGCCTCTAAACACTTGGAAAAAGAGTTCCTCAAGTTTCGTCGGTGTTGTTTGCCTCTGAACACTTGAACAACGAGCTCCCCGAGTTTCGTCCCCGGTGTTTGCCATCGGGGTCGGGTTTTCGTCGCTTGGCAACGACGTCGTAAAACAAGCCGCCCCCCCCGGTGTTTGGTCCGGTGAGAACCCGGCGTGGTTTTGTAGGGATGCGAGGTCAATGGTCTAACGACTACGGCATGCACGACTATGAGTACACCCCCCCCCCCCCCCCCCCCCCCCCCCCC